ACAAAGATTCAGTAATAAGCAATGAAATCCAATTACTAATATTCTCCTGTCTCTTGCGCTCTTCAATCCATGTTTTTTTCAAAATAATACATAAATTCGTCAGCGTCGTCATCGAATTCACCTTCAAGTAGTTCAAATGCTTTCACAACGTCTATAGCAGGAACAAATGCTAGTACAATCAATTTCTTTACATTTATATGAAAATACTTATCATCATGATACTTTTTTGTTAGACCATACCTCTGAATCGGCCTCCATACACACTGACCAAAATGAAACAGACAACCTGAAATAGGAATCAGCATGCTAGATGTTAGCACATTCAATATTTATATTTTTACCTTTGTGAAGAATATTCAGAAATAACGTATGCACAAGTAACGTTCATCGACATTGAATGTCGATTTACTTGGCCCTAGACTGACGGAATGATGACAATGATGTCCTTATATTTTTAAATAAAAATGAATTCTGTATAATGATGAGCTTAGAAGAAATTATTAATCTTTGTAACATGTTCTATATTACATACTATAGATATATACAAATACTTTAGATAAAATATTGAAAGATGCTAATGTATATGATAAAGTTTATACTTTAGTTAATTATAACGACTAAAAATTGTGATCTATGCCAAAGTAATGGATGTTTCTAATACGGGAATGGCCAATTGTGACACAGACATGCTCATTTGACCCATAAGAATGGTCAACTGTGCCATAGAAATTATTGATTGTGCCGTGGAAATGGCGAACTGAACCACAGAAACGGTCATTGGTATAATGAAAATGGCCAATTGTGTCAGATAAATGGTCCCCTGTACCACCAAAGCGGTACTTTTGTACCACGAAAATGGTCACTTGTACCATCACTATGGCACGTTGTACCACGAAAATGATCACTTGCACCATCACTATGATACTTTGTACCACAAAAATGGTCATTTGTACCAAGTGTTACAGACAGACAGACACAGGTGAATTTCCGTTTCTAGATCCTAGACTGAAAGTCTAGGGAATGTATATATAACAGCTTCATTCGGCATATAATTCAATATTTCTTGTAATAAAAATGTAAAATTAAAGAAAAAAAGTAGTGTTGAAAATGAAACATACTGAGCGAATAGCAACAAATAAGACGAAAAATAAGGGCGCCTGTCAGAAAATTAAAAACTTTGTGATTTTATAATATTTATATTGCATATTAGTATAATGAAGCTGAAGAATATACGTGAGTTCCAAATTTCAGCCCCAAAGGGGCTGCGCTAACAAGCTTTTTCTTTCAATTTATTGTTTGTCTTTATAAATCATTGGAGTTCAAGCTTCATAAAATGCATCATGTTTGTTATTAGACTGATTATTTATTGAATAAGCTATTTTTTTAATTCTTCTTTTCCAGCATTGTTTATCTTCTTCTATAATAAATGCTTTATCAACATGAAATAAACATTGGTATTTCACATCATAATGATGGTGTATTATTTCTAATTTTTTCATCTTTATCATCAGTAATTGATTTGTAATGTTATTTCAGACGTTTTTTAATTCCGACTTTTGTTTGACCGATATATGGTTTTCCACAATCACAGCTTATTTCATTGATTGATTGAAATATGATTGTAATTTATTTGGACAGGAGAAATATAGTCTGATATTTAATTTCTTTTCTAATTTTCTTTTTAACACTTCTGATCTTGGAACATAAGGTAAACATAAACTGTAATGGAGCTTTTGATTAATATTGTTTTGATTTGTTGTATTGTTAACATAGGAAATTAAATTAATGTTTTCACAAGCTGGTTTAATTAGTTTTTCAATGTCGTCTGGTGGATAATGATAATTTAATAACATTGCATTCAATTTTAACCCTTTCAAGACGGGATTGTTTTTGTCAAGCAAAACAATGAAACACGGAATTAATTTAAGTGAATTAATTTTTCTTTCTCATCAGCATTATTGATCTTTTCAAAGGCTGATACGGCTCATATATATGTTGTCGGCACTAAATCATAGAACAATGTCAAGTACATAAATGATAATTAGTTCGCATCCCTAGATTTGAACTATTTCAGGACGAAAGACGCATATATGTGTCTCCCGCCCCGAAAGGATTAATAGATCTTCTTTCTGTCCTTGAAGATCTTCTATATTTTGTATTATTCTTGTAGCCATTTTTTTGACAAATTCACTGACATAACTTTTTAATACATGTTCATTCATTGTTGTAATTATTAATATATCATTGATATATCGCCCAATTTTATTTTTGTCCACTTGATATAAGTGTTTTGTTGAATAATAATCCATATAGATATGCGCTAAAATTGATTGTAGTTTGTTACGCATTGGTAAACTTTTGTTTTGCTTGTAATATTTTCCATTGAATTGAAAATAACTGTTTCTTAGTGCAATGTAAAACGAATCTTTAATGTCCGTCTTGATGAGTAATGAGTTTTGCAACTTATTCATTTCATCAAGTTTTTTGATTGTAATATCCATGGCTTTTGTGACAGGAATATTTGTAAATAAGTCTTGAATATTGAAGCTTGCTAGCTTTTCATATTGATCAATGTTTAAATTGGAGACTTCTTTAACAAAATTAAATGTATTATTTCCCACACCTTTTAATGTTGATCTTAATTCTTTAATATATTCAATAGATATTGAGATATTGGTGATATAATCGTGTTTCTTGAACATGCTACGATTCTTGTTGGTACATTAGTTCTATGTAGTTTCGTTTGACTACGAATTTTTGGTAAATCATCATTTCACGTTAAGTGATATTTTGTATTTAGAGGTGTAAGTCGAGGTGCTGTCCGGCGGCGGCGCCAAATTTTTTTATTTTTTTTTAATACTCAGCGGCGGCGACTTAAAAATAAAATCTTTTTGTTGCTGACGGCGGCGGTGGCTTCGGATCCTTCATTACTTGGCGGCGTCGGCTGCAACGTTAAAAAGGCATTATAGTTTCGTGAACAAGAAAAGGCTGTCAATTTCAATATCCTATCGTTCATATTTTCAAACAAATATGTGAAACAACTTTATTTTACATCTTGACTTAATAAATAAAGTATATAAATAATATTGAGATGGACAATGGATGAAAAAAATAGAAATTCTTCAAAAAAGTAAATTACTAGAAAAAAATGTACAAAAAAAATACAATCTTAGGTCGGTTTGAATAAGCTATAATTATCATGGATCATCTGTATTTTACCAACATTCTCTGGTAATAACATTGTTCTTTTAGCATTGAGAATCAAGCGGTGTAGATGTAGCTGGAATAACAAGGACAATTTGAGCAAGACGTTTCAAATGAGAAAACATGTCGCTTGATAATTCCCAAAATGCAAGGACATCATCACATTTAACATCCAGCTTCAAATATTTTTCGATCTCATTTATGATGGGATCAGCAGCCGGCATTGTACTTGGTGTGTGCTTTTGAATTAAATTCTCACGAAGTTTTTTCAAATTTTATACCGAGTCGCTTAAATTTTCCACCGATAAATTACGTTTCGTATGAGACGATCATGTTGTTGTACGTGCAGTTGAATGAGAAGACATTGCAGGTGTTGAAATACTTTCTGTTGTAAATTCTTGTGGAACATTATAAATTCTAAACTTCTTAATCATCTCTAATAATGTTAACTCTTTTCTCGTTTGATTTTGAGTTAAATAACGACTAATATCACTTTTTAATTGTGATGGATCAAGTAGAAAAGCACAAATATTTAATGAAATCATCGGATATCTCTTGTTCAGGTTTTCGAACAGCAAAATTTTTAATTCTCGAATAGCTGGTGATTCCATTTCAGTAATATTTAACATAGATTCTATTTCCTATAATAAACATGAATGAATTAATTATATATTTCCAACTAAATGCTACAATATACTTATATCGTAACAGGTATACAGCTTTTTATTTCGAAAAGAAAAAGCGTTTCATGACTATAAATATCTTTCTTGAGGGTGAACACTTATTTCTAGCTAACCTTAATTCATGATAGTTAATGGTTCGATTTTAATACTTACCATTCGTAGCAATAAGTATAAATTCATAGTTGTAGAAGATTTTGATGCTGATTCCAGTAAACCAAGAAATTCAACTAAATCACAAATAACTTGATTTTCAGCAACTGACAATACTAAATCAAAATGTTTTAATCGACGTAACAAAAATTCAATACCAGATGTTTTCTATATATGAACGAAACATAATTAAAATCGTATTCCAACGAATTAACACACGTTTTTTTAAAGTATGAAATCTATCTGGATCTGTTTTGTTCATTGACATTAAAGAATTCAACTTTGTTGAACATTGAATTTGTTTAGAATTGCATTGTAAATCATTGGATAATCACGATTCTTCTAAATCATTATTTATCATATTCTCGTTCAATGCTTCAAAATCTTCAAAATCAATATATGGTGAGGCTACATCAGCATCTAAAATTTCACCAGCTTTATTTATTGTTGATAATAAATCATTGTTTATCATTTCATTTGATCGAAGAAATTCACATTCAAGTTCATGTTGATGATAACGAAGTGTATTAATGATCATTTGAACTTTATCTAATAAATCTGGTACGAAGTTCATTTCAGGAAAACAATCTGTCATCAACCAATTATGAATACCATGGCTAATACAAAATGTATGAATCACCTTCAATAATTTCCATGCTTTACGCATGTTCGAGCCTTGATCACAGACCTAGGCGAAGAAAAACCAAAACATAGCACAAATGTTTCATAAAAAATTTACTTCACCACAATTATATTATTCGAATTTAAACCAAATTCATGTAAAACAACTAGAAAAGGATCTTTTATAGCTTCACCTGTAAGTGATTCATCAAATGGCTGTGTTTTCACACTATAATGGTGATATTGTAAATTTGTATCAAGAAAATGTATAGCGAAACAAATATATGAACTATGCTTATATTTGTCGCACCCCATATCACGTGTTATTGTAGGAAATCTTATTTATGATTTTAATAATTCTTTTGTTTTTTGATAACAAACATCATATATTTTATTGAGATTAACAGGTGATAATGTGGTGCGTGATGGAATTTCAGATTTTGAACTAATGACTTTGTTAGAAATCAAAAAATCTTCAAAACCTAAGCACGAACAAAATTAATGGACGTATAAAAATATCATAGAAAAGTTCTTACCTTCATTCTCAACAATAGAAAATGGTAGAAGATCTCTACAACACATTAATGTTGCTTTAATTGTAAAGATTTTGTTGTACAACGATCTCGAGAAAACATGGAAAGAATATGTTGATTTGTTGTTTTTTTTTGTTGTAATTCTGTTACATGGTGCATTGCTAACAAATGATTTTTCATATTTCCCGTACCACTTGTATACCTGTAAATGCCAATCAGCTTTTAACTGAAGCAAAACTAACATTAGGTTGTTCATTTTTTAATTTTTCAAGACAAATATTACAATAAACTCGTTCAGTATCTAACGGTTCATTTGGTTTTTTTTTGTACAAGTGGCCAAAATAATTCCAAACAAATAATGGTTTTGGTACATTAGGTGGTTTTATGTTAAAAAAAAACATTTTTCTTTAAACTATTAATAATCGACATGTCGATTGAAAGACGAACCTAAAAACAGACACAAATAAACACCGAAATTATTAAAAAATAAAAAGCATCGACTAATTTACTAATATTGCAAAAATACCAGTGAAATTATTGACAAATGAAAAAAAGTATACCAAAACCGTTAATAAATAGAAAATCATGAAATTTTTTATAAGAAATACAACCAAGATTATTAATAAGTGAAATATCAATACAACCACCAAGAATATTAATACGTAAAAAACCAATACGACCACGATTATTAATAAATAAATAAAAGCACCTAATGGATAAAAGTTAGTTTGTTGTTTTATTTTGTTTTGTTATTCAAAATCGATAATGCTCGTCTCTTCTTTATATATATATAATATAAAAAAGATATCAACAACTGAAATCATTTGTTAAAATTTCTAACCAATGCAGAGTTGAGGAAAATATGCTTAAAAAAATATCGATTTCTATGATAGGTATCGGCGGCGGCGGCGGCTCATAAATGTAAAAATTTTGGATACCATCGGCGGCGCAGCGGCTGCAATTAAATTACCTCAGCGGCGACGGCTTAAAAATTTTTAAAATTTCTACTGTCACAACGGCGGCGGCTCAGCCACACGGATTATACCTCTATTTGTATTTAATGTAATTTTGTCTTTATTAAATAATTTTGTGGCTTTTTTGCTAATTCGGTGATATAATCGATTTTTATCCATAATCACAATTTTTTCACATTTGTCTGTTTGAACGATTATGATATTTTCAATTGATTTAATTTTATGAAGTAACTTTTTTTCTTCTTTATTCATGTTTTGTATGAATGTGGAAATTTCTGATATCGCTGCATTCTTCATAATTGAAGGTGGTGAAAATAATGATTTTTCCCAGTTCACAATATTACTTATCATGTTCATTGATGTAGCAGTTGGGACGAACTTTAAATTTTTTGATAATCTTTGTATGTTTTTCGCTCAATAGAATATTTGAAATATTAATAACATTGTTGATCTCATATTTATTTTGAGATTTTCTTTTTGTTATTGTTGCTCGTTGTTTTAATTCGTATATTTCTTGCTTTTTCTATAAGACTTGTTACGTTAATTGTAAATCTGAAAAATACCTAAAGTAATAAAATAATTCTTTTAAAATTGACTTCCGTAAAGAAGTTATGAATAAAACTTTACCAAGCACGATGATTCGTTTTCAATCCAGCTTGGGCCATAACATACTCCATAATACGTAACTGCGTACGATTTTTTTTATTCTATTTTCGGTTATAAATTTGAAATAGTATTTTAATCGTCAGAATAACTGAATTTTACTCTAGTTTTGTGAAAAAGTTCCAAATCATAGTTTGAGCCTTTTCGTGATTGATTTTCAATACATATGAGTTCAGTATGTCGAAAATAATGTTTCACTAAGTACGATGATGCTTTGATTGCATTTTTCAGTTTGAAAATTCAAATGATATTTTGATCGTTAGAATGAATCCTTTTTCATCCGGTACGGTGAAAACATTCGAAACAATACTTCAAGGCTTTTCATCATTGATTTTCAATGCATCATAATTTATAATATTCCAAAGAATGTTCTTTGGAGTACGATAGTGTCTTTTCGATGCGTTTCACGTGGTACGCTTCTCATATAATACCTAAAGTAGTTCAGGAATTGTTTTCAAATTAACTTGGGTCAAGAAGTTGTGAATAAAACTTTAGTTAGCACGTCGATTAATTTTCAATCCACGTTGAATCATCATATATTCAATAGTATGTGATTGCTACAGTTTTTTCTTCGATTCTCAGTTATAAATTTGAAATAATATTTTAATTGTTCAAATTAGTTCTTTTTCATCTAGTGCAGCGAAAACATCGGGAATCATGATTTAACGCTTTTGGTCATTAATTTTCAATGCATATCAGTTAATTATATACATATCTAGTGATGTTTGATTCAGTAGGATGATATTTTTGAGTGCCTTTTTGTGTTGGAAAGTAGGAATACTAGTTTAATCGTTAGAATAATTGCTTTTCTTTCTAGTTAAGTGAATATATTCGGAATAATAGTTCAAAGCTTTTGATTATTAATTTTCAATGCATCCCAGATCATTGTGTTCTAAATATTATGTTGTTGAGTATGGTGCCGCCTGTTTGATCAGTTTGACGTTGTAAAATTCTAGAACAACCTAAAGTATTGCAAGAATCGCTTTCAAATGGAACAACGTGAAGAAATTCTGAATAAAACTTTACCAAGCACGATGATTCATTTTCAATCCAACTTGGGTCATAATATATTCAATAATACATCATTGAGTACGGCTTTTTAATTCTATTTTGGGTTTTTAATTTAAACAATATTTAATCGCTAAAAAAAGTTGTTTTTGATTTGCTTGGCTGAAAAAATTCTGAAGAGTTTAACAACTTTGATGATTGATTTGTAATGCATATCAGTGCAGTATATTCGAAATAATGTTTGACTGAGTACGATGGTGCTCTGCTTGCATTCTTGAGTTCGAAAGTTGAAATGATTTTCTAATCGTTAGAATGAATTCTTTTTCATCCAGTACGTGGAAAACATTGGGACTAATAGTTTAACGCTTTTGATCGTTAATTTTCGATACATCTCAGTCCATAATATTCCCAAGAGTGTATTTTTTGAGTAGGATACTGTCTTCTTGATCCACTTCAGGTCATAAAATTCTGAAAAATACGTAAAGTAGTAACAGAAATGTGTTTAAATTGTCTTACATGAAGAAGTTGTGAGAAAAACATTACCAACAACCATGTTTCATTTTCAAGTTACCTTGGGTCATAATATACTCAATAATACGTGACTGCGTACGGTTTTATTCACTCTTTTGCCGGTTTTAACTATTAAATAATCGTTCAATGATTGGATGTAATCCTTTTTTTCTAGTTTGTTGAAAAGTTGGGAATTACAGTTTAAGACCTTTGGTGGTTGATTTTGCATGAATATTAGATGACTATATTCTAAATAATGTTTGATTGAGTACGATCATATTTTCACTGCATTTTTGGGCTAGAAACCTAGAATAATATTGTATTCGTTAGGAAGAATTCTTTTTAATCCAGTTCGGTGATAATATTCTGATTTTAATACTTCAACGTTTTTGATGATTCATTTTCAATGCATGTCAGTTCGTAATAGTCGAAAGAATGTTTTTTTTAATAGGATCCCATGTTTTTTGACCTTTGAGGTGGTAAAATTATGAAAAATGCCAAAAGTCGTAAAAAAAACGTTGTTTTGAAATTAATTTAGGTAAAGAAACTGTGAGTGAAACTTTACCAAGGACGATGATTCATTGTCAATCCACTTTGGGTCATAATATACTTAATAATAGGTGATTACGTACGATTTTGTTTCATTCTTTTTTGGGTTTTAATGTTTAAATAATAATTTAATGGTTGAATGTTATGTTTTTTTTATCTAGTTTGCTTAAATGTTGGGAATTGTAGTGTGAGGTTTTTGATGCTTAATTTTCGATGCATGTCAGGGCATAATATTCCAAAGAATTCTTTCATGAGTGCGAGCATTTGTTTTTATTCGACTGTGAATAATGAAAGTGGAAATAATATTTTGATAAATACGTTAGTTGCGTTATGATCCACTACATGTCATTGAATTCGAAACTATCGGTTTGTTAGTACGTTCCTTGTGTTTTAGTCTACATCGTTCAATTAAATATAAAATGATACTTCTGAAGCACGATGATATGTTATTAATCGACTTCTAGTGATGTATCTTCAAAAGGAGATTCTATAATATCATGATAATGTTGAATAGACTTTTGTTCATAAGATTATAAATAATCCCGCTGAAGTGCGATGATAACATTTGGTTCCACATCAAGTCATACAATTCAAAATAATGCTTCTCTACCATGATTATAGTTTTTAATGTACTTCTGGTCATAAGATATCAATTAATGCTTCTCAACTATGACTGTTAGAGTTTTGTTTGTTTTCTATCATGAAATGCAAAAGACTTTTTTCATTGGTAAGATGATTCCGTTTTAGTTCGCTTCGGGTCGTGAAATTTGAAATAATTGTTGTATCAATATGATGATTATGCTTCACTTATGGTTGAGTGATGAAACGATAAATTGTGTAGGCGATTTTTTTTTTTTGTATATGCGCATCGATTAAGCTTCGCGGACAACGAGGTAGAGAACAAGCAAAATAATAGTAGATATTGATAGAAAAAAAGCTTGATTAGAGAAAAAAATTGGGGTCAAAAAAACGTTGGTAAGAAAAAAATCAACGTACTTTTTTCAACTTCATTCGCTGATGATTCATGTATACGGATCAATGCACAACGATCAAGCAGATTTCTGGATGTATATAAAGGGATGATTTTGCTTTAGTATTTCACACTTTAACAGCATCGTCATGATAAAGCGTCATTCGCATCGTGGTTGCTGAAACTTCGCGCACTGGTAAACATAGCCAAGGTATGTATTTTGATTTTGTCTTCATTATATGCTTGCTTCAGTTGTATATCATGTAGTAGTTAGATTGATCGGAGACGAATGTTAGAGGTGTTGTATTTCCGTAAATAAAGCTTGAAGAAATTGTTTTGATTTCATGTAGTGATAGTAGAAATGCTCCTGTTATTGCATGCTATTTGATTACTCTTCAAGTAATAACATAATAATAAAACTTCGATAAGAAGTGTTTTTGTATATAATTAAACGACAACATTAAATCATAATATCATCCACGTGTATTCTTTTTTGTCTTTGTTTTTTCTTTGTGCGTTCTAGCACTTAGTCATGCATACAGACATTACACATCAAGGCACGTGCCTTGTTTGTTTTGTGTGCATGTCTCTTTTCTTGTTTATTTTCAAAATAGATAAAAAGGAAAAAGTTAAGTCACACTTGTATAGTGTTCACAAACAAATGATTCAATCAATGGATCCAACGAATCCAATTGTTTGTGAATAACCAACGTGTCCATTGTGAGCGTTTGATAGGATAAAAATCTCCTGAACCTCTTTCTGTATTTTTTTCTGTTCTACCATTGTTATTTTTTTACATTCTAATATGCATGAAAGAACAAAGCGTTGGTAGAGTCGAGAAAGAAAGATGAAAAAGAAAGAGAGGAGACGAACAAATTGTTGAAATTTCATTATTATGATATTAGTTAAAGAGTAATTCCCTCGACTGTAGGGAGGGTCATATGAAAAAAAATAGCTTGTGTGTGTGTATGTCTGTGTGCCTACATCGGGGTCAAAAAAACATCAGGGTTAAAAAAGCATCCATTTAAAATTCTTTCCTCTAAACGTTGACGAAAGTAAATCGGGATCGGAGAATCCGAATCTGAAGTTAGTTTTTCAAAATTTTGAATTGAGTTTTAGGGTCAAGAAAAGGGTTTTTTGAGAAAATAACGATATTTTATAAAGGTTGACGAAAGCAAATCCAGGTCGGAGAACCCGAATTTCAAGTCAGCTGTTCAAAAACTCAAGTAGTTTTTTGTATGAGACAAATCATACTTTTTTATCTGAATTATTGCCTAAGGAAAAGTCAATTTTTTTAAAGCAAAAGGCATTTGAAAAAATGGAAACCCGAAGTATGGAAAATCCTTCTGCGTAGTTGGAGTTTGTAATTGCTGTTTAATTTCGGTAGCCTCTTCATAGTATCGTTGTAGACATGAATCAGAGTGTGATCTAATGGGTTGAGTGTTTCAGTAAGCCGTGGTGTGATGAAACAGTGTTTGCAAACCATTGGCACTCAGTCTAATGTGTGCGACATTATGGGATTTCTGTTTATTCATAGTGGTTTGTGAGTTAAGTGACTTTTTTTGAGTGCACTCTGCTTAAGTCGAGAGAAGTAGCATTAAAAGAATTCTGTAAATGAAGTTACGGCCTGTAGGATAAATGCTGAATAACCAATGATTGTCTTAATGTATTCCAAGAATGCAACAAGGGACTATGAGCAAGGCCTGAGAGAAATGTTGGCGAACTAGTGGTCGCTAAAATTGCGAACGTATTCTGATGTTGTTTAGCAAAAGATCTACGCGAAACCTGCATTTATCAAGAATAATCAACTAAGTTTCTCCAAACCAGAAGCCCTAATAAAATTTTATCGTATTGGCTAAACCATTGGGTTAAAGAAATTAGGAATAAATAACAGGAAACTGTTGGTCCGGAGCTGCTCATGTGGAGCGATGGTGTTATAAATCTAATATTCTAAGTAAGAGCAATCTGGCATTTAAC